CAGCAAATTCTAAAGCGCCAATGAATTTTACACAATAAGAGTTCTCTTGGTTCATTGCTCTAAAGTCAACCGTTTTCAAGAAAAATGACTTTTTATGAACAAAAGCAAACATTTTGCTAACGTTTCGAAAATATTTTGCATTTTGCATTTTGAACATTTTGCAAGTGCAAGTAACTGAACAGAACATCCGGAGAACGAAATGCATCGTTTATGAAATCCATGTCAATACTATCGAAAAGTTGACCGATAGAGGTGAAACCGCAACGGCAGAAAGAAACATGATTAGAAGATGTAATGCGTGCATTCAAGCCAACGGACGTAATTTTGAACAGTTTCTGTAAATTTTACTCGCCAAATTGATAAAAAAAAAGTTAAAATCCTATCTGTTGTTAAATTTCGTTAAAATTGTTAATTATTACTACCTATTTTTTGAATTACAAAAGATTTTCGAAACGTTAGCAAAATGTTTGCTTTTGTTCATAAAAAGTCATTTTTCTTGAAAACGGTTGACTTTAGAGCAATGAACCAAGAGAACTCTTATTGTGTAAAATTCATGCCGATTTAGAATTTGTTGTCAAAAGTCAATTTTTCCAGTAGCGTAAAATTTAGGGGGGAAAATCCCTTACGATACCTTAAAATCTCCACCACTGGCATGTCCAATGAATTCGAGAAGGGTGCGAAAAAGTAGCTATTAATAGTGGTAATGTGTGTACAAAAGCTCAGTCTTGGAAAAAATTGTTTCTTTTTTCAAGAGGAATTTACAGTTTTCCGTTGCGACACTTATTTAGGAACACCCTGTATATATATAGGCTTAGAACTATTTAAAGGGAGACTACAGGGATATCGGAAATTGTTAGTCATACAGGGTGGCTCAAATTACAAAAAAGTTGCACAATTATGGGGCGAGTGTTTTGGTGAAAACAGATCCAAGATAACAAAAAAGTTAAGGGAGAGGGGTCAAAATATAGTGAATCATCCTGTACATTAAATGGGCCTAAGTACTTGGACCTTCTACAAAATTGTGTAGAGGAATTTCTCCAAACATTGCCAGTTATGCATTATGTGGAATGTTGATATCAGCATGATGATGCTCCAGCACATAGTACCTTGCAAGTGAAACAATTTTTAAATAACAGGTTCGGTGAACAATGGATTGGGAGAGATGACCTCATTAATTGGCCGGCCAGAACTCCGGACATGAATTCTATGGATTATTTTGAACCCCCCCCCCTTTAACTTTTTTGTTTTAAGAGTTATAAAATAATGTGAAATACAAAAGTCGCACTATTTTTTATGAAGTTTTCGAAAATGATGTAGAGAAACAAATGAAGTTCAAACAAAATGGCCCCGGATGTTAATTTTGTTAATTTAAATAGAACATCATGTTATATTTTACACTAAAGAAAATGACAATTCGGACATTAGCCTACTATTTCAGAAAAATTAAAAAGAAAAAGAGAAGTCCATAAGAAAAAAAAGTTGACTATCGCCACTCTGAAACAATGGAAGATAAAAAAAATCTTAAACTCCATTGAAATCGCCATGTTGGATAATGCCTAGATACAAAATTTCGTGACGCTATCTTAAAAAACAAATGAGTTATAACGAAAAATAGAAAATCCATATTTTCACTTTTTTCGAGATATCTCAGAAACTATCGAAGATATCTTAGATCTGTTTTCACCAAAACACTCGCCTCATAATTGTGCAACTTTTTTGTAATTTGAGCCACCCTGTGTGACTAACGGTTTCCGATATCCCTGTAGTAGTCTCCCTTTAAATAGTTCTAACCCTGCATATATATATTTGATATGTCCTTCTAATTTTTAATGGATGAAATCCACCACTTATGCTAAAAAACTGAATAAATATAAAAATAGGTGTTATACATATAGGTTAAAATCGATCTTAATATATAGAATAAATATTGTCTTTTATTGTGGGTTATAATTCACGTTATTTTTATAAAGTTTCAACCCTTAAAAACCACCCTTATCGATTTCTGGGGTTATTTTCAATATTTTATTTTATATCCCCTAGAAGGAGTGGTTTCCATCCCACGGGCAAAAGCGCTCATCGGCACTATCTAACTTTTGTTTCTTGAGCTGTTTTCTACTTACAGTCCAAGTTTCACGTCAATTGGTTCTATCCGAAAGAGTTTGGAGGGGAAACCTTTAGTTCCCTGGACTATAAGTATTTTAAATGTATTTAAATGTAGGTAGCATTTAAAAAAATGTTTTTATGAATTTTAATGTCAGCGCAAATCTATTTTGAAAAGTATAACCATTTTCTGAACTATGTTTTTGAGAACTTTGTCTTATTTTGACTGTTATTACCAAGCAAAATGCAATTCTGTACGCCTTGTATATTTAATGTGTTAAACCTAAAAGACGGACAGTTAGGTACCTATTATTTAAATATTTTTTAAATTTTCAAGAATACAGGAACGATTTATCATACTGATTTTATGTAAAATTAGTAATATTTTCTTCGTATGGTATACAGGAATATTCTGAGGGAAATCGTATTAAAAAAATTATAAATAAAATTGAGTATGTACTTACTGTTGCCGAAGAATATAGTTATAGGTTCTGAACAATGAATAACTATGTCGTTTTGAAAAAAACGATTTGAAATAGAAGATAATATTCACGATATATTCACAGCACAATCAATTCTGCGAATAAAAGGACTGGAATTGGATAAATGGCGTCGTTTTTTATTTATGGCGTTGTTGAAAATAGTATTTTGCCGCCTTGATAATTTTTCTTGTTTACAATTTTAGTGATCTTATAAATGTAAGATCGGTGATTTACATTAATTTATTACATAGATGTTGTTACATATGTCAATGAATCTACAAAATATATGCATATTTATATAATGCAAATATACAGGGTGTAACGTAAAGGTTGGGAATAAATTAATCGGTGGATTCTTTAGTTTAAAAAATAAATTTTTGTCATATGAAGTTATGCTCTACGGGTTTTCTTTTCCAAGCTACAGGGCGTTAAAAAATATAAAAAAAATTAGTTTTTCTCCAATAACTTTCGAACATTAGAAGGTAATGGAATGAAATTTTATCCATAGCTTAATTTGATAATCCCCGAGTAACAGGAAAAAGATTGGCTTTGTAAGTTACTCAGTGGCGTGCGTACGGATTATACCGTAAGGTTTTTCGAAGAAAATTGTGGTAA